AATAAAAATGGTTGGAATTTAAATCAGGCTGTCAATTCATGATCACTCAATTTATACAGTGACATATAGTTCGGATCTACCTTCAATCATCTCATTTTTGCAGTAACAAAAATAGAAGAGGTAGAAAGTCTAATACCTCACTTAACAGATTGTGAAGCTATTGTAATTCCACTCACTGGCGCAAAGGTTGTTCAAAACTAGAAATTACTGGAACACGGAAACCACAGGTTCAGAAAGAGTTTTTAAATCACACAACCATCATTTTTCTTCAATAAATTGTTTATTGGGTGGAGAAGTTGTATGCAAGTAACCAAAATGATTCACAACCTCAACAAGAAGCAAGAGGATGTTGGTTACTTCAGCCTAGTGATAGCCATATCTTTCTTTGCCAATTCTGTGTCTTTACTAGTGATAATGCTATTTATGTTGGTCCCAATGAAACACAAAATAAGCAGGAGAGTTAGCAATAGTGCCGAGGGAGAAACAGAATGCACATTTATTGTCAGAAGTCATGATTCACGCTAAATTCTCAATCTGGACATTTGGCAATATTCTTACTGAAGGTGGACTCCAGTTTATACATATAAAGCATAAACACCAGCCTGTTCTATGGTAACAGCTCCAGGACAATTGTATGACTGTACCAATTTTATTCTCCATTCAGCAGTCTCTAGCAACAGACCTTACATAATGGTGTCAAAAGCCTTGCTATTAAGTAGAGATAACCAAATGAGTTGGGTAGGCTGATTGCATGCAGATTGTGAGCAAATATGCATCCAAATTAGTTATGAGGCTCTTTGATCAGAATGACTGTAAATTAAGTAACGCACCAAATTATAGCCCAACCCTTGCTTCATAATCGATACGATTTAACAGGTGCCGAGATGCTTTTGAATCAGGCAGCAGAGTATCTAACAGCTTTAAAAACCCTTTTTCTGATTGGTAGTTTCTGGAGATAAGAACTCGTCATTTCAATCTAACCTTTTCATGACTGGTTTTCTCATGTACAGGGTGGAATTAATTCCGGTCCTTTGCAGTGGGAACCAAGGCAGCCAGTCAATTTACTGTCCATACTCAAATAATTTTGTATAAAAGTCGACTTTTGGGCTATAAAATATCCTTCATTTTTCATATGTCTCCTGTGCAAGTTGAAGTCCAAAATCACACCAAAAAATTCAAACTCATACTCATCACCAACCTGCCACTGAAGTCATCCTGGAGACTGATTCTGGGGCATGAAGTCTTAATGTTTGCCTTGCCAGTGCCATTCAGAGAAATGTAAGCAGTCAAGGCTGTCATGCTGGAGCAGAGTAACCTGACTGGGCTCAGACTGGGGAGACCATCATGATCTCGCCCTTTCCCAACTTCACCATCAGTACAACAATCTCCATTTCGATCATTTCAGTCAAAACTCTATAGCACAAAGGTAACCAACAGGCCCAAACCATTCCAGTTGCATGAGGAATAAACTTTTGTGGAAAGGGATAGCTTTTTTTTTGCTCAAAAAGCTTAATCAAGTTTGTGAAACACAATTTCCCATGCACAAAGCCATGCTGACTATCCCTAATCATTCCTTGCCTCTCCAAATACATGTAAATCCCATCTCTCAGAATCCCTTCTGACAACTTACCCAGAACTGATGTCAGACTCGCTGGTCGATAATTCCCAGGCTTCTCCTTATAGCCTTTTTTAAATAATGGCACCACACTAGCCATCCTCCAGTCCTCTGGCACCTCACCTATGGCTGTAGATGATACAAATATCTCTGCTAGAGTCCCCGTAATTTCTTTCCCAATTTCCCACAATGTTTGGGGATACACATGATCAGGTCGTTTCTATTTTTGAAGACTTCTAGCATTTCTCTTGTATAATGTCAACTGTTTTCAATACATTGATATTTATTTCCCTGAGTTCTCTAGCTTCCATTTCTTTCTCCACAGTAATAACTGACACAAAATATTTATTTAGTATCTCTCCCATCTCCTGTGGTTCCTCACATATGACCTCTTTGATCTTGAAAGGGCTCTATTGCCTCTCTCTTGCTCTTAATGTTTTTGTAGAATCTTCTTGGATTATCCTTAACCTTATCTGCCAACACTACCTTGTATACCCGTTTTGCTGTCCTGATTTCCCTCTTAAGAATGACGCTAAACCCTTTATACACTTAGAGATTCACTTGATCTCAGTTGTCTCTACTTAATATATGACTCTCCTTATTCTTGACCAGATCTCAATATCTTTATTCATCCATTGTTCCCTATTCTTACCAGTCTTAATCCTTCATTCTTATCCAAATCATAGAATCCCTACAGTGTGGAAACATGCCCTTCGCCCCAACAAGTCCACACCAACCCATCCCCCTATAACCCACCTAATCTACTTATCCCTGAACACTATGGGCAATTTAGCATGGCCAATCCACCTAGCCTGCACGTCTTTGGAGTGTGGGAGGAAACCGGAGCACCCGGAGGAAACCCGGGCAGACACAGGGAGAATGTGCAAACTCCACACAGACAGTCGCCCAAGGGTAGAAACGAACCCAGGTCCCTGGTGCTGTAAGGCAGCAGTGCTCACCACTGAGCCACTGTGCCGCCCGATTATCTGTAACCAACACTTCCAGGAGTCCGTGTATTGCAAAAGATGCGTGCAGTTCTTCTATTCTTGTTTCCATGGTGCTTTCTTTGGCTATTGGGTGTTTGATGCCATTTCATGTAGACTCCTGGTGATTCCAGGATGGAGATATACAAAGCCTTCACCTCTGGCAGTGATTAAATCTGTTGGAAGAACATGATCAGAGAGAACATGCAGTTTTGAAAAGCTTACCGGAAGAAGACATCACACATAATGACAAGTTTGAATTCTCCAAACAATCATTTGTTTTCTTAGACACATTGTTAACACTGAAGGTAGATTGGTAGATCCTCAGAAAACTGAAGCCATCTCAGAATTCTCAACTCCAAAGTCAGACCCAATCTTCAAGATTCTTGGGTATAGTGAACCATTTGGCAACATTTGCACCTAACATCATCATAATTACAGAACCCTTGAGACTACTCTTCAAGAAGACTACACAGTGGTTCAGTGGTTAGCACAGTGGCCTCACAGCATCAGGGACCCAGGTTTGATTCCACAGGCTGTGGAGTTTGCACTTGCTCCCTGTGTCTGCGTGGGTGTGCTCCGGTTTCCTCCCACAGTCCGAAGATATGCGGGTTAGGTGGATTGGCCATTGGAAATACAGGATCATGGGGATAAGGTAGGGGTGTAGGTCTGGGTGGGATGCTGTTAGGAGGATCAGTGTGGATTCGATAGGCTAAATTCCTGAGCCTGCAACTCATCCAAACCTCAATCCTGTGTGGCATCCTGTCCTTTTATCCACAGAATTGTCTAGCTACAGACAGCCTTAGCAGTCACCTATATACTTTCCTGGATGCCTGCGACATATTCCATATACCTTTGCCTCAAAGGACAAATAAGTAAAAAAAATGTGTGGGTAGGGGAAGGGGCAAGTATTTGTATCAAATATATATTTAAAAATATTAAATCTATGCACACTTCAAGCCAATTTTTCTACTAAAATCCCTAGATCCATGTCATTAATTCAACTACATTTGTAAATTGTCAATCTAGAATTACACTCTTCTTTCCATTAAGGCAGTTCAATTATTGGTCAAGAATGTAGCTAAGTGTAAAAGGTTGCATAGGTAGGTTCCACTATAGAGCTGAAAACAGGAATTATAAAAGAAACATAAACATAAGAAGAGAATGTATCAGCTTAAAATGGGATTTGAATTATTCCAACTTCAGCACTTTCTGAAACTGTTTATTACAAGGCTTCATGTACAACCCCCAAGGAGATTGACTAGTATGTATACACCCAGCCTATTATTTTACTTTATTAATATTTGAATTATAAATATTATCCCAAAGAGAGAATATTATTCCTGATATACCCCTGATATTTGGAGATATGCTTGGTCATATATGATACAGTGGCTTCATACTCTGACCCCTATTGATGACTTTTCCCTCCTCTTGAACTTGTGGTCAAGATCTGCACAAAGCTAATACTTTTCTTATTGAACAAAATAAAATTTTGAGTTGCTGTAGTAGACCTAAGTCTCCTATTTGGGAATGCACTCAGTCACTGGAATGTCTGTACACCAGTTGTCAAATTTCTACATTCAGACCTGTAGAAAGCAAATCCTTTGGCTGGCATTACAGATGTTTCTCTTCTAGCTGCAAGACTTCAGTTCTGATCAGCAGCTGGTCTATATCATCCAGCAAGTGGTCTCCTGGTTTGAGCTGTCTGTATGACTTGATTTCGTGAATTCTACGTTCAGAGATGTTTTTGCGGTCTAGGGCAGAATACTAAAAGCACAGTAGTGTCTAATGATTGATTAAGTCATTCTGTCAATATTAGTGGTAAATGCCCACTCTAGTCAGGCTAAAACAACTTTTCACAATTACCTGCATTGCCTCTTATTCCATTATCTGAAAGATTGCTTCTCAAATTCAGAGTAACTTTTTCAGAAACAATGTTTGTCTTTGTCTACCTGATGAACATAACAAGCAGCTCAGAGGATCATCTGTTGGAAGGAGGTGGGAGAGGTAGGGATTCTGCTCTGCAGTACTAACCCGGAATGCATAAATTATTTGAACGTTTTGAGACCTGGTGGTTGGCTGGGTGACCATGGGTTACGAGCCATGACATGTTATGGTTCACAATTGTTTATAATAGATTCTGAAACTCACTTTTAGTTTGTGTATGTTGCCACATGTTAATGATATCTCCAGCCCTTGGAGAAAACTATTTGAAGTTGTTCGTGATAGTATTGGATTTGCACAGTGTCATCCCATCAAATTAAACAGAACAGTATATTAAAAGCATGTCCATCAATGTATAGTGCAAGTAGTTGTGTTACAGTTTAGCAACCTTTTGTGTTATCGCACTTGTACAAGATTTATTATGTTGTCTCTCCTGTATACCTCTGTCAATCTAGATTGTGATTCCTCAACCGTCTGCCTTCCCAATGTTTTCAACAAAGCAGAACAACACCCACAATATGATTAATTCAAGACCCAAGTCAGGAATACCTGGAGTAAGTCTTTCATTTTAAATTGCGTTGTTTATTTATGTTCTTTTCATGATTCTGTCTGGTTAAAGGCAAGATGTCACTGTAACAATTAGACTCTCAAATTTGTAGAAAGCAGGCATAAGAAATGAAGGAGAGAAAAAGCAGACGAATACTCCTCTTTATCATGGTAAAAGCAATTAGTATATTGTGGAGAATGGGCCTAAACAATAGACTGGGTTACATTGGCCACTACAGTATAACCTGCTTCCTGCTCCAGGGAGTCACTATACACTTTTACTGAGGTAACACATACACAGAGCTGGGAACTACAAAGCTCATCAACTATTCTCACAGCATCAAAGACATGAAGCTACGCCTCCCTCGGCCATGTGAGGTATCTTTCAATATGCTTACCTTAAAATACTGTATATCCTTAAAAACTCCAGATTTCTTCAGCATGGTATTGGTTTGAAGACTAAGTAAAAGGTTAGTTTCGCTTTATGTCAGTTTGCTCTTTGTGATATCATTAAAAATAATAGAAATAAATGTTTAAACATTGTGTTCTGGTGTCCTTTTGAACCAGCTCCATCCAGAATATTATTAGAGGCAAGTATTCAGATTTTTACATAACGCTTTTACATGAATTTATATTAATGTCATATACACATAGATCATAGAATCCCTACAGTGTGGAAACAGGCCCTTCAGCCCAACCTCCTGTAACCCACCTAATCTACACATCCCTGAACATTATGGGAAATTTAGCATGGCCAATCCACCTAGTCTGCACATCTTTGGACTACGGGAGGAAGCTGGAGCACCCAGAGGAAACCCACGCAAACATGGGGATAATGTGCAAACTCTGAATTTTTTGAAGAAGGGTCTAGGCCCGAAACATCAGCCTTTCCTGCTCCTCTGATGCTGCTTGGCCTGCTGTGTTCATCCAGCTCTACACCTTGTTATCTCAAATTCTCCAGCATCTGCAGTTCCTACTATCTCTCCACACAGACAGTTGCCCGAGGGCGGAATCAAACCCAGGTCACTGGCACTGTGAGGCAGCAGTGCTAACCACTGAGCCACCATGCTGCCCTGACCATGCAAGCAGTCATTATATTTAAACTAGTTGTCATTGTGATGAATTTACAAAAATATTCCCAAAACAGAATGGCCTTTTTATTTTCCTTGCTGTGGAGAAAGTGGAAGATATATTTTACACTAGTGGTGAATATAAGATGGATCTAATTTGTAAGCATTCATTAACTAATCCAACTATTTAGTTTATGTGATAGGGGTGCTGGGACCAGATGAATACAAGGTAAAAGTTTATTTTGTTGCAGCTATTTGTCACATCAAGCTAGGTGCAAAATAATGGCAGAAGTGTGTAGACAAAAGCGCAGAAACGTTTTTGTGATCAGGACAGAATGTCCAAAAATTGGCACTGTGGTGTTAGTTCAATAGTAAGGCAGAAGACAAGTGGAATAAATCTGAAGAGCTATGATGACTTATTTTATTATTTCATGAAATGCGGGTATTGCTGACCAGACAATGAATATCTAGTTAAAGTTAATGTGACTGACTGTGTAAGTTAATGAATAAAGTAAACTTAGAAATAAAATGAAGAGGAAGAAAGTTCATTATATACCATAAATAATGAGCAACAATGTCATGAGGATGAATATGGGATGATTTTAACCCTACTGTCCAGCAGAAGTCTGGCAGGTGTTTTAACAATAGTTTCCAGGCTAAGTTATGCTGGTATGCTTGTGATTTATATACAGTGATTGGGGTCCAATGCTGATGGCTGAAGGCCAGCGTGAAGGGCATTGGAAAACTAAAGAGAACACTCAGATGAGTTTTCTAAAGAAAGAAAGATTTGCATTTACATAGCACCTTTTGATAGATCAGGATGTTCCAAAGCACTTTGGAGACAATTATGTATTTTTCAAGTGTAGTCACTGTTTAATTTAGGAAATGCATTTTGTACATAGCAGAGTTCCATAAACATTAATGTGCTGAGAACAATGTAGCTGTTTTAATATTTTGGTTGATGGATAAATATTGGCCTAGGGCATGGGGGCAAATTCTGTTTCAGGTTCTGATTCAGGTGTAAGAGTTCTACCAACTTTGTCATAGTTTTCCTTGGTGGAGCCAGGTCCAGCAGGAGTGCTACTCCAGGCGACACAAGGAAAGTTTATGCTTCCTCCCACAGAATCTCTGCATCATGTGATGGAATTCTGATTGGGAAAGGAACCTTGAAAAGTGGACAAGTGGCATAATAATGAGGCCAAGTGGTTAAAATGACCATGTCCTCATGTTGCTGGATACACCGGAAACTAACTTCAAAAAGTCATCTGTCACTGCAAACCCAAAAGTTGTTTAAAGAACCCCAATGGAAAATGTAGAAACATTTAAAACATTCTTACAGTAAGCTTTGCTGACAAGGTAGAATTTATTGCTTTGACAATCTGTAATTTTCCCTGAACTGAGTCGTTTGTAAAACATTTCAGAGGGCAGTTAAAAGTCCACTAATGCTCATAAATAGGATGGAAACCCCATATTCAACTCACATCTACACTGACATAACAACTACCTGGCCATTGGCAAAATCTAGCCATTGTGTTTTGGCGTTGTACTGTCCACACATTATTTGTTATATTGTTCATGAACAACTTGCATCTCTCCTCCTGAAACTTTTTCCTGTTAGTATTGGAGTGTTAACATTTTCATTCTTTCTCTCTTTCACACACACACTATCATTTATTCATACTCGCTCTGTCTCACTTTCACTCTTTCTCACATTCAGTAGGTGTCACACTTTCTCATTCTGGCATGTGTCATACTGACTAAAGTTGTTTTATATTATTTTCTGTGACTATCTCCAATCCTGTGCTGCCTTCGAATGTCTCCATGTCTCTTTGGAACATATGTTCATATTACATGATATGAACATATGTAATCAATATCTGTCTCTCACTTTTTCTTAAACGTCTGTGATATTTAGGAGGATGAGAGGTGAGCTAGAGCTAAGATGGTGAAGAGGTGCTGTCATTAGGGCAATTGAGAAAGTTTAAGGCTGATGATTAGGGTTGGAGTGAGTGCATGGGATTAAGTAGGAAAATATGCCAGAAGCACAGAAGGGTTTGGGATGAAGGACAGCTGACCTCTGGCAGTATTCCGAATGGAGGAGAATGGAATGGAAACAATTGAAACACGAGACCGGGGAGCACTGTTCACCAACTTATTTGCTGAAACCAGTTACAGCCATAAATGTTGGCTGATTGCCAAGAAATGAAGAGTTTAACAGTAAGAAAGCAAAGTGGAGAAATGAATAACTGCACATTGATTGAAGTAGGGGAATACAACCAAAAAAATGATAGGTGCAGTCAGCTGAAGAGCTAATATTATGAAACTGGTCCTTGGAGACACAGTGTCAAGAGTATTCAGGAACACCTTAGTGTAAATTGCAAGGGAAACTTCATTTACATTAAGGATGCCACTTAGATCACCTACATTTGCAAATGCATTTTCTGATGTCTGGCACTTGTTTGGAGACAGGCACCAGATACATCATCTCCTCCCTGGGGACAAAAATATTTAGCTTTCTGTGAACCACTCAGTGACTGCTGGAGAGAATGAAGGAAAGTCACTCTGCTGTAGCGTCTATGTTCTGATGATAAGCTTTCATCTTTTACCATGTCCAAATACTGAGCAATAGGTAGGGGAGCTGGATTTGGAGCAGATGGGAAGAGTGTACCTTAATTACCAGGTCTCCCTTGGTAGTCTGGTGAGTCAGAATCACAACTGACCAAGTACTAAGCCATCCTGAGAACATAGCAGATTCAGTTTACTGATCTTTGCTGAATTAGCTGATCTCTGCTTAAGCAACAGTTAGGGGCACTGGGCTAGGGACCATTAAAACTTCCCAGGATCGCTAATTCTGATAAAGGACATTTGGTGAAAACAGAGTCTGGCTTAGATATGTTGAATACTATTGCTCTTGTATTGTTAAAAATGGACACTTTGGGAGGTACCCATTTCCCTTTGGCTTCATACCTCAGTATATTAAAGACAGATGGGGAGGAAAAGAGCAAAAGTCCAATGATTATGACGGTACATGAACAGACTCATAAAAGAACATTGCAAGTCAAAGTAGTTTTTATAACAACAAAAACAGAAATTCCTGGAAATGCTCAGCAAGCCTGGCCACATCTGTGGAGAGAAATCAAAGTTAACGTTTTGGGTCCAGTGACCCTTCCTCAGAACTGAGTAAATTGAATTTTAAAAAAAAGTAATTTTTATTACTGCTGACTTTACATTGTACTTTGACATTCATTTTCCAATATAACAAATGGAGTATTTGTGCTTCTTATGGACCAGATCCACCAGTTTAGAAAGTGGTACTTTACATTTTACTGACACCATTATTTTCTTACTTGTATGGCATTCAAATTGAATGCTGTTTATGAGAATTTCTGCTTATTATAATTCAGTTTGTATCCTGAATCATTTATTCCAGCTTTAGTCACCCAAGAAATCTTTCACATTTCCTCCCTGTGGTAAATAGCAAGACAAATATCCATCACTGGTTGCTGCCTATCTAATACAGTACCTATCCAATATAGGCCTTTGGTTCATAGGTTAGAACATGTCTGATTTCCAATAACTGGAGATATCTTATTGCAAAACTACTGTACTGGTTAAATACCTGCTTTCATTATAGTTGGTTGATGTGCAAGATTGAAATTACTTTGTCACACTCCTTAGTTGTTTTAATGGGTAAAGGCATTGCATGGTATCGTTATGATGCTTACAGAATACAAAAACACCAGGTTTGATTCTCAATAAAAACCAAAAGAACTGCGGATGCTGAAAATCAGGAACAAAAACAAAGTTGCTGGAAAAGCTCAGCAGGTCTGGCAGCATCTGTGAAGGAGAAAACAGAGTTAACTTTTCAGGTCCGGTGACCCTTCGTCAGAACTGATAGTGGCTGGGAAAACGTCAGTTTATATGCAGAAAATAGGGAGGTGGGTGGGGTAGGGAGTAAATGATAGGATAGAGCCCGAAGAGAGAGAAAGACAGTTGGACAGACAACGGAGTTGCTAACGATCAGGCTGGGAGGGTGAATAGTTGTTAATGGGTTTTCCCAGCCACTATCAGTTCTGACGAAGGGTCACCGGACCCGAAACGTTAACTCTGTTTTCTCCTTCACAGATGCTGCCAGACCTGCTGAGGTTTGATTCTCAGTCTATGCTGAGTGATTTTATCAGTGGTTACAGCTGAAATATAACATTTTGCCTCATTGTCTTCGAGTCAGAAAGAGAACGGCCATCTATGTTGACATTTCTGAATGATACCCGGTGGTATTTTCTGAGAAAATCACATCTGTTACTGTGTATTCACGGTGCTATTTCCCATTATTTCCATAAAAAAATCTCCTTTTGTTGTAGTTATCGAGAAGATGTCTGAGACTGTAGCATTCGCAATAATGGCAGGAGTTACTTACAAATGTTACATAACACACTCAGTGGTCTCGCAGGGAAAGATTCAAATCCCATCAGTCCACCAATGGCAGTCGCATGGCTTTTCAAATGTCTCAGTCATTTGTTAGGTTTAGGAAGTTTCCAGAAATGCATCTGATCCTTATCAGTCTACCAGTAGCTAATTATGCACGCATTGAAATCCTGGTAATCTGATACTTCTGAGAAAGATGCATCTGATCCCTGTCAGTCTTCAGATAGGCATGTACTATACACATGTTTTAATAGTCTCATTTGTCCTAACAGGTGTGGGTATGATGTTAGGTATGTATCTTTTGTCTGTCAATCCACTGGTGGTCAGTGATTTAAGATATGTATCTACTCCTGGAGACATGTAGAATGGGAGGTGATAGTGAATGCACCCATGATCCCAGTGATCTGGAATGGCTTCTCAATTCTTTTCAATTCAATTCAAACGTTAATGTATTTCTGAAGAAGGGTCTAGGCCCGAAACGTCAGCCTTCCTGCTCCTCTGATGCTGCTTGGCCTGCTGTGTTCATCCAGCTCTACACCTTGTTATCTCAGATTCTCCAGCATCTGCAGTTCCTGCTATCTCTAAGAATCATTGCAGACTGTGGGAGTGAGAATCTAATGTTTCCATTGTTCTCTTCCTGCATTTCCAATGATATGTCAGGACTGTATATCAGCCTGTTAACAGGGACCTTATTGCATGCAATAGCAGTCATAAACTTGTTGTGGTCAAGCTATTTCTACTTACAGTGAAAATACAACAGACTCATGGATGTCACACGGAGATTGACAACACATTCCCATATTTGCAATGCTCATGGAGGAATGGTGCAAAACACACCACAATTCATGGCAAAATTCCACTGAAATGATTTCTATTCTTCCCACAAGTTGGGTATTTGATCTTACACACTAACAATTGGAGTGTCATAAATCAAAGCAATTCTAGCCCATAATTTCCACTGCAGTTCCCTGATGCATTGTTGTAATGTTGTGCAAATTATTCTGCTCCTGTGCTGAAAACTGGAATCGATGAGAATGAAGGGTAAAGCCCATTGGTTGAAAGTCATATCTGGCACAAAGTAAGGTGGTTGTGGTTGAGTCAGTCATCTTCACTCCAGGACATTTCTGCAGGTGTTCCTCATGGTAGTGTTCTAGGCATAACCATCTTCAGCTGGTTCACCGATAACCTTCCCTCCATCATAAGGTTAGAAGTGGGGATGTTTGCCAATGAATGCACAATGTTCAGTACCTTTATGAATCTTTAGCTGAAGCAGTCTATGCCCAAATGCAGTAAGACTTGCACAATATCCAGGCTTGGGCTGACTGGTGACAAATAACAAGCCATACAAGGCTCAGGCAATAGTCATCTCCCAAAAGAAAAGGGATCTAACCATTGCCCTTGGCATTCAATGGGATTACCATTGCTGAATCACCCATTATCAACATCCAAGGGTTGGCATTGACTAAAACCTGAACTGGACTTGCCTTATGAATGTAGTGGCTACAAGAGCAGGTCAGAGGCTAGGAATCTTGTAGCTAATAATTTATCTCCCAATTCCCCAAGCCTGTCCACCATCTACAAGATACAAATGAGGAGTGTGACAGAACATTCTACACTTGCTTGGATAGATGCAGCTCCACCACACTCAGTAAGATTGACACCATGCAAGGAAAAGCAACCTGCTTCATTGGCACTGTATTCACAAACATTCACTCCCTCTTCCACCGACGCTCAGCAGCAGTGTGCACCATCCACAAGATGCAATTCAGAAATTCACCAAGGCCCTTGGGGCAGCATCGTTCAAACCCATCTAGAAGGACAAGGGCAGCAGTTACATGGGAACTCTACCACCTGCCAGTTCCCTCCAAACCACTCATCATCCTGACTTGAAAAATATATCACTGTTCCTTTGTCTCTGGATCAGAATGGATCAGCTTTATTGGCCTACCTACACCAAACGGACTGTGGATCAAGTAGGTAGCTCACCACCACCTTCTCTAGGGCAGCTCGGGATAGACAATAAATGCCAGCAGAACCCACTCCCTGAATGAATTAAAAACCAGAGTGGAAATTCTAATTACATGCTGCCGTTTAAGCTTTTAACACATTCACAAGTATATACATTTCCTGGATTCATGGAGAAAAGAGCTTTGTGCTTTAGTATTTAGACATACCACTTGTGTTATACACCATATCATAGGTTGGCCCACAATTTCATTTCAAACTTCTACTAAGTTGGTTCATCTCAGTTTCAGGTGCAAAACAGCAATTATAAATAGCCTGTCTATTACTTAGCAACATAGAGGGATATCAGCCTGGATTTCCATTTCTGACCTCTTTCCAATTATTCACACCGAAAGAACAACATGGGGCTCAGCAACGATGCCCAAACCCTTGATCACAGTTTAATCTATGTAGGCAAGGCAACTATTTTAATGGATTGCTTCAATTTGCATTTTTAAAAAGTTTACAAGTACACTTAATATTTATAGATGGTACGTTCCTTTATTTAGAGTCATAGAGATGGACAGCATGGAAACAGAGCCTTCAGTCCAACTCATCCATGCTGACAAGATATCCTAGATAAATCTAGTCCCATTTGCCAGCATTTGGCCCAAAATCCTCTAAGCCCTTCCTATTCATTTACCCATTCAGATGCCTTTTAAATGTTGTAATTGTACCAGCCTCCACCACTCTGCCCCTCAGATTTTATCAATGTCGATAAGGTCACCTCTCAGCCTCCAATGCTCCAAGGAAAATAGCTGCAGCCTATTCAGCCTCTCCCTATAGCTCAAACCCTCCAACCCTGGCAACATCCTTGTAAATCTTTTCTGAACCCTTTCAAGTTTCACAACATCCTTCCTGTAGCAGGGTGACCAGAATTGCACACAGTATTCCAATATTTACTTTGATTCTACAAATTGTTAGATGAAAACCCTTAAAATGGCGCAGGAGAATCCTCATCACATGGAAGTGCATCTTGACAAGCTATACCAGATGTACAGGCGCTCTTTTGCTAACATGGTGGAAGCCCAACGGTGAGTCTTTGTCTTTTTCACTTCAAATCAAATCATATGCCTTTACTTTTTGTGTCGCTGTTTTCTCTTGCTTTTTTTTGCATTAAAACAAAACTCACTCAGAAGGTTATTGAGTGGAAAATAGAAAATATACAGGAAATTGCATGAACTTGTCATAAGGTGTTCTGATAATAAATAACTTCTAGGCATTTGCTTTGCTTTTATTGAGAATTCATACAACAGTGTCAGTGCATTAACACCACATTGTGTCTGCATGTTAGTGGATTCTGAAAAGAGTGTTGATACAGTTCATGCTCCAGAATCATGAGCTGGAATACTTGATCTGAAATTTGAACCATAAATTCTTTGTCGCATGAGTAAATGGGTCACGGTAAAATAGAATCTGACTGTCTGCGAGAGAAAGTCAGCTACCAATTCAATTTTGCCTTTATTTGCATTTGAATCAGGTTGAGGGAGTTGTTTTGCTTTAAAAGAGAAATGTGTCCTTTGTTGTAACAATTAAAGCCAAGGTCATTTTCCCATTCCCCTTTATCAGTTAAAATGGACATGGAAATGGCAATAAAGAAGAAAGTTTGTTCTACTGACTGAAATGTAAATGTGAGCTTTGTTCACATGAATTAAACTCACCATTGTGCCACTTAATGTAAATTTATTCATTTCAGCTACATGTGTTTGGAGATCTTTAATTGTGGCAACAGTTCCATTTGCTCACTTATCTAGGTACCAGAAGAAATTGGCTTGTACACTAAATGCAATTTTTCTTTGAGATTTCAACAATCTTTTAAAAACAAATGCAGCATATTGTTCATATTACTACTGCTGAAATGTGCCTGTTTAAATGCCAGGTTAGGATCATTTGATGTCCACCAGAGCTGGACGTACTGCTGGCACCCATGGCCAAAGTTCACAGATGAAATTTGGGCACAAAAATAAAGTACCACATGATGGCCACTTCCCTATTCACAGATCAAAGCGCAATAGGAAACAGCATTTCCACAACAACAGGAAGAGAATGGTGTGGTATGAGGGAAATGTGCAAAAAAAACCCTTCTGAAGAAGGGTCTAGGCCCGAAACGTCAGCCTTCCTGCTCCTCTGATGCTGCTTGGCCTGCTGTGTTCATCCAGCTCTACACCTTGTTATCCCTTAATGATTTGTTCTTAATCATAGGCAAGTTACTGGGGCGAAGAGTAGAGTTATCTTCTGTATCTTACATTACCATCATACAGATTGCCAATTACATTTCCAATCAAAGGATCTCTTATTTCACTGTCTATGAAACAGTGGGTCTACTTTTCACATAAAGTACACATCTACCTTGTAAATGTTATGCAGAAACAATAATTTTCCTTGCAATAGCTGCATCTCTGTTTCCTACACAGGAATCAACAGAACAGAGAACTAGCTCTTAGATCCTTCATCAACGCTGCTATAAATCATTTAATACTCCAAACTTTCTTTTGTGGAAGTGCCTGGCCTTAGCTCCAAACCTTTCCCTCTCTATTATTGGAAATAAGGAACTTACCAAGTTGAGGACTGGGGATACATCTTCCTGTTCTATGATGATATATTTGAAATTGTTGAATTATCTGCCACATTAGTCCACTTTTATGGAGCTAGAATTCACTCTGTAAACTGTTGTGTAAAGCCTTTTCTTTCTAGTCATGTAATAACCTCCTTTAAAGCCTTCCCAAGTGGAAAAAGACAGAAATTCTGAATCTTACCATTGGCAATATCTGGGTACTTCTAACCATACTTTTAATCATAAAGTCCTAATGATAGTACTTTGGCTTTGTGTTCATTTCTGCTTGAATACTTGAAGCCCCTTGGTATGTTTACTATATTAAAGTCATTGGGTCAAAATCCTGGAACTACTCCATCCCTGACGCCAAATGGGCTGTGGCAGTTCAACAAGGCAGCTCATCACAACCTTCTGAAAGGAAATTAGGGATGGGCAATAAATGCTGGCCGAGTCAACAAAGCCCACAATCCTGAATGAATAAAAAATTAAAGGCGCGATATAAATTCAAGCTGTTGTTTGAAAGTAAACATTTGTGCATTCCAATGTAGATGCAAAAAATACTTGTAATTTCCTTTTTCTAAGTGTGTGCAAAATTTATGGAGTTGGTTGATGTTTACTTATCACAGGTTTGATTTAATTTGGTTTCAACTTAGATCAAATTGTAATAAACTAAGAAATGTTGCAGTTTAAAAGACTAACTGCAAGTTTAAACTGAAGGTGAGAGTGGATTGCACAATTTGTTTGAATGTCAAGTATAGCAATAATAATTCTTTATAATGTCTACAAATTTCACCATTCTTTGCTTTATGCATTGACTGTATGAAGCCAGAAGATATTAGTGTACATGTAGGGTACTAAAGATTAATCGGAGCACAGTAAATCAAAAAACTGAACACAATTATATCTGAGCAAATAAACATGAGAAGACTTTAATTTATGATTTATATTAATATGTACAGTCTGTTCAGTAAGCTATGACCACGTCAGTTTTCGTTCAAATTTGTTCTTCTCTGTTTGGTGCTACATTGAGTAGACTGCTGGAGAGAAGTGGCCACTTCATGGAATTTGAAGAGCCCAGCATTCAAGATTTTGTACGTAAACAAACTACTTGCATTATACTGTTTACCTTTTCAGGATCCATACCCACAGCACCCAGACATACAAATTACTTAATGTAAAATAAATGTAATTGCTAACGGAGTCATTATTGAAACATATGTGAACAATAGCCTTAACCACACCAAACAGTCCTATGTAGGTTATTTATATGATCATGTGTTACACAAAAAGACAAATGCCC